CTTGGCCAATCCATCACCTTTACCCTCAGCTTCTTTAGCAAGGCAGTGGTCGTCTTGGAGGTGTGTTTGGGGTCGTTATCATGTTGGAATACTGCCCTGCGACCCAGTCTCCGAAGGGAGGGGATCATGCTCTACTTCAGTATTTCATAGTACATGTTGGCATTCATGGTTCCCTCAATGAGCTGTAGCTCCCCAGTGCCGGCAGCACTCATGCAGCCCCAGACCATGACACTCTGCTTGACTGGCTTGACTGTAGGCAAAACACACTTGTCTTTGTACTCCTCACCTGGTTGCCGCCATACTTCATCTGAACCATCTGAACCAAATAAGTTTATCTTGGTCTCATCAGACCACAGGACATGGTTCCAGTAATCCATGTCCTTAGTCTGCTTGTCTTCAGCAAACTGTCTGCGGGCTACCAATTTGATGCAGTGTGCGGCGTATGGTCTGAGCACTGACAGGCTGACCCCCCACCCCTTCAACCTCTGCAGCAATGCTGGCAGCACTCATATGTCTAAACACAAAACACAACCTCTGGATATGACGCTGAGCACGTGCACTCAACTTCTTTGGTCGACCATGGCGTTCTGAGTGAGCCCTGGGTAGAAGGGTGTGTGTGACGTCCCAGTTTGGGCTGTGCGTGCACTTGTGGGGTGTGTGTTTTAGGTGCCGCTTGGAGGGGGTGTGGCTTGCACACCTGACACTTGTTGGACGCAGAGTTTAAGAGTGCCTGGCGTGTTGGTGCGGGGCGGTTGGTTTGGGAGATCGTCTCCTGCGTGGAGCTCGACGGTCCGTGTTGTGCTGTGTGTCCCAGCCGACCCTGGCTCGTTCCTTCATTTATGCTACATTTATGTTATATTTTGTTGTTAAAATGAATGTTTTGTTAAGTATTGTTGCGTCTGGACTCCTCTTTGTTGCATCCTAAGAGCCGGCTGTAACAGCCACCGTGCTGCAGCTCAGTTTTAGGGTCTTGGCAATCTTCTTATAGCCTACGCCATCTTTATGTAGAGCAACAATTCTTTTTTTCAGATCCTCAGAGAGTTCTTTGCCATGAGGTGCCATGTTGAACTTCCAGTGACC